ACCTCAGCCTCCCAAAGGCGTGGGATTACAGGCTGAGCCACCGAGCCCGGCTAAAATTTACTAACTTTTATTTATTTATTTATTTATTTTTTTAGTTGGAATTTCACTTCTTTGCCCAGGCTGGAGTGCAGTGGCATGAATGCTCACGGCTACCCCGGCATCAACCTTCTGGGCTCCAGCGATCCTTCTGCCTCAGCCTACCGGGTAGCCGGAACTACAGATGCGCGCTACCATGCCCAGCTAATTTTTATTTTATTGTAGAGACAAGTGAGAATCAGGTTGCCTGGTATGGGCTTGAACCCGCGGGCTGAGGCAGTCCACTTGCCTTGGCCTCCCAAAGTGCTGGGATTACAGGCTGAGCCACCTCGGTCTCCCAAAGTGCTGGGATTACAGGCTGAGCCACCAAGCCAGGCCTGAAAATTTACTAACTTTTAAAACTTCCTTTAGAATTTAAAAAATTAGCCGGGCTCAGTGGCTCAGCCTGTAATCCTGTGCCTTGGGAGACTGAGGTGAGTGGATTGCCTGAGCCCAGAGGTTTGAGACCCGCCTGGGCAACTTGGCAAGACCCCATCTCTACAATAAATAAAAAATGAGCCGGGCATTGGTAGCGCATGCCTGTAGTTTCGGCTACTTGGAAGGCTAAGGCAGAAGGATTGCCGGAGCCCAGCAGGTCGAGACTGCGGTAGCCAGTGGCTATTGCACTCCAGTCTGGGTGACAGAGTTAGACTCCAACTCAAAACAAAACAAACCTTCCTTTAGAATTTTAAAAATTAGCTGGGCTCGGTGGCTCAGCCTATAATTCTGTGCCTTGGGAGGCTGAGGTGAGTGGAGCCTGAGTCCGCGGGTTTGAGACCCGGCTGGGCAACTTGGCAAGACCCCATCTCTACAATAAATCAAAAAATTAGCCGGGCGTGGTAGCGCGTGCCTGTAGTTGCAGCTACTTGGAAGGATTGCCGGAGCCCAGCAGGTCGACGCTGTGGTGGCCGGGAGCGGCCACTGCACTCCAGTCTGGGCGACAGAGTGAGACTCCAACTCAAAAAAAAAAAAAAAGAATTTAAAAAATTGTGGGAAACATATGTAAAACCATTTTAACCATTTTTCAATTCGGTTGCATTGAGAACATTCTTATTGCGGGCACAGTGGCTCATACCTGTAATCCCAGCACTTTGGGAGGCAGAGGTGAAAGGACTGCCTGAGTCCAGGGGTTCAAGACTAGCCTGGACAACTAGGCAAGACCTCATCTGTACAATAAGTCAAAAAATTAGCTGGGTGTGGTGGTGCATGCCTGTAGTTTCAGTTACTTGGAAGGCTTAGGCAGAAGGATCACCTCAGCACAGCAGATTGAGGCTGTAGTGGCCGGGAGCGTGGACAACAGCCTGGGAAACAGAGGGAGACTGCAACTCAAAAAAACCCCCAAACAAAACACTGATATTGTAAACCATCACTACTATCCATCTTCAAAACTTTTCCATCATCCCAAACTGAAACTCTGTACTATTAAACAATAACATGATCCCCGCTACTGCCAGACCCTAGCAGCCACCATTCCACTTTCTGTCCCTATGAATTTACCAGTGCTCCAGGTACCTCACATAAGTGGAATCATACAATATTTGTCCTTTTGCAACTGATTATGTATCACTCAGTGTCATCAGAGTTCATCAGTGTTGTATCAAATGTCAGCATCTCACTCTTTTTAAGGGCTGATCTTCCTGAAAATCTGTGCCTGAAAAACAAAAACAATAAAGGATGAATATTCCACTGTATGCTCCTATCACATTTTATCTATTCACCCATTAACGAACAATTGGGTTGTTTCCATCTTTTGGCAACTATGAATAATGCTGTGAACTTTGATGTACAAACATCTGTTCAACTTTCTGCTTTTACAACTCTCGAGCATACACCCAGAAATGAATGCATTACTTACTTTTAAAAGTTCTATTTACACGATATCCCACAGTAAGGAGTACACCTTATGGCATATTAATAGGCTACTCAATCTGCAGTAAACACCAGCTATTGTTAAAAATAGGAGTAAGGCCGGGCGCGCTGGCTCCCGCCGGTAATCCCAGCACTTCGGGTGGCAGAGGTGGGAGGACTGCCTGAGCCCAGGAGACCAGCCTGGGCAACATGGTGAGACCTCGTCTCTACATAAAAAAATAAATAAAATAGGAGTAAACTTCGTTTTTCCCCTAAAGAAAGGCAGTCTCTCACCCTTGTGATGCTCTTCCATCACATACAGGAAAGCATTTATGTGTCTACAAGGCGTAGAGTCCCTAGAGGGAAGGACAGGCTACAGGACTTTTCCAGATGAGACAGTTCCATTCGGTAAAAACCCGCTGCGGGGCTGGGAGCCGAGGGAACGTTTTTCTGTGTTCGGATGTTACCGGAGTCCCTTAAGACCCTGGGGGATTGTCCTGAGGTCGTAGTGGCGGTCAGCAGGGACCCTAGCCGCCCGCAAGCTCGCGCGCGGGGCCGGATCTCTCCACTCGCAGCCTTCGCTCCCAACAGCCTCCCCAGCCGGCCGCCAGCCGCGAACCGCCTCCGCCCACAGGCGCGGCGCAGGCCGGGGCGGGTCACAGGCGCCCGCGGGCAGGAGGTATGACAGGGCGGGCCTAGGGGTGGGTCCTCGCCAAGGTTCGGCAGATCTAAAAAAACAAAAAACAAAAAACAAAAAAACGAGCTTCGGGGCATGCGCCACAGCGGCGGTTATGAGGTTCAAAACGGACGCTTCCGAGCGGGAACCGCGAGGCCGCAGCGCGGCTACCCGGCAGGGCGAGAGTGTCTGAGGCGCAGGCGCGGTCGCGGGCAGGCAACGTCACTGGGCGGGGCCGCGCACGCGCAGGCGTTGGGAGTGGGGCGGGCCCGGGCTTAAATACTACTGCGCTCTGCCCCATCCGCTGTCTGCGCGGGGCTCTGCTTTGGCTCTCCCGCCTGCTCCTTCCACCGGGATGGTGGAAGGGACGCCTCGTGCTTCTGTAGACAGAAACGTTGGCCCGAGCGGGCAGGGTTTCCGAGTCCTAGTTAGAGAGTTTCCCACAAGGTAGTGGGTATGCGGCCTTGATTTCGGGCTACATTCTAGTGGATGGAGACGAGCGTGCAATAGGGAATCGACATGTAATTCAAACCCGGGACTGCGTTGGATAGATGGTGGAACATCTTTAGCTGATCAAGTTTGGTTTTTGGAGTCGGAGTCTCGTTCTGTTGCCCAGGCTGGAGTGCAGTGGCATGCTCATGGCCACCGCAGCCTCGGCCTGCTGGGTTCAGGCGATCCTTCCGCCACAGCCTTCCAAGTGGCTGGAACTACAGGCGTGCGACCACGCCCAGCTAATTTTTTGATTTACTGTAGAGAGGTCTCATGGGCTCAGGCAGTTCTCTTCCTTCTGCCTCCCACAGTGCTGGGATTACAGGTGTGAGCCACCACGCCCGGCCTGGTTTATCAAGTATTAAGGGCACCTTTTCCTCGGGAAATTCCGGGAAATTCCATTTTGCATCGGTCTCGGTGGCTTATGCCAGTAATCCCAGCACTTTGGGAGGCCGAGGTGGGAGGACAGCTTGAGCCCAGGCGATAGAGACCAGTCTGGATAACCTAGGGAGACCTCGTGTCTACTAAAACTCAAAACAATTAGCCGGATGTGGTGGCGTACGCCTGTAGTCCCAGCTACTTGGGAGACTGAGGCGGAAGGATCGCCAGAGTCCAGCAGGTTGAGGCTGCAGTGAGCCTTGATGCTGCTACTGCACTCCAGCCTGGTGAAGAGTGAGACCCGACCTAAAAAAAACAAAAACAAAAATCATTTTGACTTTGTGTGGAAAGTTACTGAAATCCATTTGAATGAATTTGAGGGTCTTATCAATGAAATGGGCAGAACTCCTAAGATGGGTTTGTATAACTTTGAACTAGTGGTAAAAGGAAAGAATGGGGGTTGCTGCACTGAGCTGAGTTTCACGTAGTGAAAAGTGATGCTTTCTGAGCCTGTTTGCTAATGTCTGAAGCGATACTTCCTGGATAAATCCTGTGATTTAAATGGTCACAAGTAAAGGGAAGGGAGGAATCCCTCTTCTCCCATCCCTACTGAACTAGGCAGCTTTTGCCTCCAGGTGTCTTTGCAAAAAACTCATGTTTTGTATTTACAGCCGAGTCTGTGCTGATTCTCTCGAAAAGAGCTTGAAGGATAAGCCTTCATTTTTGTTCCAACGAAACTTGGAAGAAAAGAATATGCAGGTAATGCCGCTCTTCCTAACCCTTTGTGACTCTTAAAAGTGAACACCTGGGCCCGGCGAGGTGGCTCACACCTGTAATTTTAGCACTTTGGGAAGCCAGGGGGGGAGGACTGCTTTAGTCCGGGAGTTAGTGGCCAGCCTGGGCAATACAGCAGGACCGCAGGTCTTCAAAAATAAAAAGTCGGCTGGGCATGGTGGCACACCTCAGGCTCAATTTGCTGGGCTCAGGCGGTCCTTCTGTCTCAGCCTTCCAAGTAGCTGGAACTACAGGCACGCGCTACCACATCTGACTAATTTTTTGATTTATTGTAGAGATTTCTCTCTAAGTAGCCCAGGCTGGTTTTGAACCCCAGTCCTCTTGCCTTGGCCTCCCATAGTGCTGGGATTACAGGGTTGAGCCACTAAAAAAAATAATAAATAAATAAAAGTTAGTAAATTTTAGCCGGGCT